TAAATTGTAGGCCCTGATGGATAGGAACTATGTCTTAATTATCTGTGTGTCTGTTAAATCATATTTGACTTGTAGAAAGTACTCAGTTAACATGACAAAGGAGGCAGCACTGCATTTTGGGACATATTCTCCAATAATGGTACGGCAGAGCAGGAGGATGAAAAATCCTTGTGCTTCATTGCACACGTGAGTGTGCAGTGTGTTTACAATTAAGCAAACATTTGAGCACCTACCATGTGTCAGGTCCTAAGTTTTGACAGTGTTCCTCTCCCAAGGAACTCACGTCATTTATAGAAGGGATTATACAAAGAGAATGCGATGCTGGGGGGTGTGCGGGGGGCAAGGCTGTGTGAGAGGTGGCAGAAGTTGTTAGAAGGTAGTGCGTGGACTTAAGACATAGGTTGTAGGACGTGTTAACACTCAAAGTAGTGATTCTGCCACTACTTTGTGAACTTGACAGGATAGCAACTTCTCCATGTCCCATTTCCTAATCTGCAAAATGGACGTAATAATAGGACATATCTCTCAATTATAGGAATTAATGAGATAATGTGTCTGGCAGATTAGGATGGTTGAAATAAATGATAGTTATTCCTGTGAATTTCAGATAATTTAGAAATTAGTCACCCTCCTCGCACTCACCTGATGTGATGTGACCTACAGCCCTAGCTGGCCTGTCCTTCATCTGGGGGAGAGGGGGTGGGCTTGCTGGAACACAGATGTTGGAGGGATGAGAAATGTTGAAATGGCTGAGAACTGTCAGTGAGTCCGAGGTGCATCAGAGGTGGGTTCGGAGAGGTCTGTTGCTCAAGGATGATCAGTTAATGCACCTTTCTTCCTCTCCACGGCAGCTACTTGGCTTATTTTAATGGAGCATTCACAGTTATATATGCAAAATATGCCCTGTTTTTGAACAGTCTTATCAAAAAAGTCTCAGAACACTTTGGATATTATTTTTATCTTCTCAGCAAACGTATGCCTTTCCTAAGATGCCCGGGGTTGAGGTTTCTGCATTTTACTTCCTCAGGTATCTAGCAAGCATGATGGGCAAAGAATTCTGCTTAACACGTATTGTTTTTACTTTTTTTTTTTTTTTTTTTTGAGACAGAGCCTCAAGCTGTCCCCCTGGGTAGAGTACCGTGGCATTACAGCTC